AGAACTCAAGTGTCATCACTACGAAGAATTTGCGTACAGGAATCCAAAGTCTCATCGGAATCGCGAAAGTTGTCTTCCAGAAACTAAACAAAGTCTAGGTTTTTAGACTGACGCGTATTTATACTCCTATATGACAGTGAGTTTTGTGGAGCAACTACATTGAATCAATAGCTTCATCTACCACAAGGAAAAGTTGTTTCTCTGTGTCGCAAGAGAAGTTTTTTGCCGCCTGAATCCATCTTTCAAATCTAGAAATAAACCATTCGTCCCTGCACCGGACACTGTTGCCATATATGGTCTGGTGCCACTGCTGTTCATCTCGAGGTCCTCGACAAAATCCAAAGACGCATATGCAATGTGATAGATCCTCACCTGGCATCTCGACTTCACTCACTTTCTCAGAGACTTGCTGTGGCTTCCCTCTGCCTTTTCTACAAATATTTTCATGGCATCTGCCCTGACGAGTCTTTTTTTTCCTGGTGCCCACACTACATGAATTTAACCGTGTGACAAATCTACAAATCAACCATTTGTCCTTGCATTGAATACTGCTGCCATATAGGGTCTGGTGTTCCCCTGGTTATCTCGAGGTCCTTGACAATATCTAGAGAAGGATATGCAATGTAGGTCCTGATCTGGCATTTCGATTAAGTCACTTTCTCATAAACGTGATGTGGCTTCCCTCTGTCTTTTCTATATGGCAACTGCTCTGACGGGCTACTTTCACTGATACCCAAACTCCACGAATTTAAACGTGCTATTAGTTTGGCATCTCGGCCCCACACTTTTACTGTCGAATCGCTTAAAACTAGCCGTCTCTTCTACTCCAAAATCTTCTTATCTCGCACTTCCTGGCAGTGGAACTCCCTGCTTCTTACTTGCTTCTCCGATAGGTATAGTCTTCAAATATTCAATTGTAAGGTCAATCGACATATTCCTGCTCTCAATATCTGTAACCCTTTGCATGCTAGTGGCACGCCCACCTTGCTTGGGTCGAAATGCTTAAAAAAAAGAATGTTGGACAATTTCTCTACAGAGCAAGAATAAACTCAGATCAACGAGTATAAGGATTCTATAATCGGAAGCTGAGAATAAACACGTGAGTGACGAAAAAGTTCGGAAATGGAAGCTAGTAATCTATTCATACTTAAAATCAGGAAAAGTCAGCCGGCATTTCCGAGGCATATTGAAAGGAAAGGTGGCTTGGAAAACTTAATACACACTATATTATTGCGAAAAAAAATGAATAGGAGTAAACATAGATCAACTTACTTATTTGTCAGCATATAGAGACGAAGATGTGGAGATCCATGATCGTCCACAGCCTGAAAGGACACGGCACATAAACGATGACCATCACTGTTTAAACGAACAAAGCACACTCTAGCCCGCTTTCGTCTTGGGATCAAACTGTAGTACCTGCTCTCTTCTCTGCCATGTTTTTTGTCTTCGGATAGACTACAATTTTGTAACAAAGAGAGCCTATACCCTTGGATTCCACACCAGCGACAGCCTTTCACCAATTGAACCCGGAGTAATCTGTTGTCTGTTTGCCTCTGGTCACGAGGGACTGGGCTGTTTTTGTTCTTGACCCATATGTAAGCAAATGGCCATCCTACGCTAAACCGACTATGTGTCATATCCTACCCAAGCCGATGTAAGAACTGAAGAGAAAAAAAAACATAGAAAAAGTCTGGGAAAATTCGTAAACTTAAGGAATCAGCACATATGCTAGACCACAAAAATCTCCTGAGCCGACCAAGCATAGAAATGAATACAATATGGGAACCAGTAATAAGGGATGCCAGAGAAAAGCAATGATAACAACATAGTTGCAATAGGAGCTCTGGTAAAAACATGATTGATAATAGCAAAATTGCAATATGAACACTGGTAAAAATGGTTGCTGAAGACATTAGTTTTATAATACCCAGAAATTCATACCCAGATGCTCTCAAGGACACGTGGCACAGGCGATAAAGGCGTTGGTTAGATCCAGTGACAGGACCCAAAGAGTGTGAGTTCAATACCCGGTTAAGGCAGTGGAGAACTTTCAGAGGGAAATTAACAGGAGATAACTGACAACTGACATCGATCAAACATGGCACTAGAACAGTCTACCCCGGTGAGCGAAATAAAGGGTTCTGTTCGACATTCCGACCACCGAAACGCTGTGATAAATATGGCGACAAAGATGTGGACAATAGTCCGAATAATGTACATAATACTTCATCTCAGAAATATAGACAGACAAAAGTCTTTAACAAACTGGGAATTAGTCTCAGCCGAGACGATTGAATGTTTGGTTTTGGAGATGATGTTGATGTGATTATCAAGCAGACTCAAAAACTTGATACTGTATGCGTAATTGGTTTATAAGTGAAAATGAGGTGACTTACACGATACGCGAGATCACGCGTTACATGATTATATACGGTAATTATTTAAAATTAAAAATATATCAATTATAACCTTCGGTATTTACATTTGTTATCTATTGTCTGTAGTATGTACAGTATATATAAACTATAATTACTAAGAAATACATATTTTCTCCCTTATTTCCATATGTATTTAAAAAAAATATTTATTCATTATGAAAATTATATGATAGCATTGTAGTTATGGCCGAATACTCTTTCTCTCCCAGCAACCAATATTTTTAGACGTAGTCCAAAACTGGAAGCAACCCTTGTGTGTATATTTGTGTGTGATTTCAGTAAGATCATGATGGAAACACCATTCCATCACCAAAGTTAAGTCTGGTGAGTGCTATTGGTAATATTGAAGTTTAATTTTTTTTAACCTTTGTTTATCAATGGATTATATTTTTTCATTGCACAATAATAACGTACATATAAGTTTTAGATTAAAATAAAATTCTTTTCATTTTTCATTTAAAATACTATATTTTAGGAATACGTTTTCACAACATCGCCGACGTGACGCCGACGTGACGCCGACGTGACGCCGACGTGACGCCGACGTGATCATATTGAAACGGAACGCTGATCTTGAAAAAATTCAGTTTTCTGTTCATTTTGTTTAGTTCGTGAGAGCCAACAGCTGACTGACACGAATGTTAACTAGCATGCTAGCATGCAAAAAAAATATCGAAAGCTGCATTTGTCGCAAGTGGGAAAAATTTAAATCTGCATGGCACTTTACTCCAATTGGCTCATTCGCTTGCTTAAACACAACGTTGATTCTGATTCCGTCGATCTGGGTTGGGTGTGAGTATGTATTTGTTGTTAACATTCTTTTTTCATTCGGTTTTTCCAGTTACGAGTCCTTTTTTAAAGCTGATCTTTTTGTGTTCATTTTGTTTAGTTCGTTTTTCGTAACAGATTTAATGTTTAGTATAGAGCTTAGAAAAAACTCGCAGTGTGAGATAGGAAAGAAGTAAGGCATGTAGCAACATCAGCACGGCGAAGGGCACTCCTTTAAAGGCAAGGTAGGGCAAAAATATTTTAAGAGAAGTGATAGCGATTGCTGTATGAGACGTACGATTTTTGAATCAAGCACGGGCAACGCCAGGCCATGCTGCTAGTCTATTGATAATTCCAAATAAATAATTATAATTTAGCTCATTTGCGGCACAGTGAAGAGGCGGACCGGATGAACTGACATCGAGGGCCTGATCAGGCCCGCGGGCCGTAGTTTGGTGATCCCTGGTCTAGTAGTTTAAATTGGCTTATAAGCCGAGTATTTTAATGTGTTAATTCACAACATGCAGATAAAATACAGTTTCGGATTTACTAGGATGCAAGCTTGCCGATGGCAAATGATGAAGTGGACCACTAATTTACTGGGATTCCTATATCAAATAAAACGGCAATCAAGAAACAAACACAGAACTATTTTAGTAATAAAAAGGAATCAGAAATTTATAAGGTCATCTGCACACTATCAGTTACTAAAGTCCAATGTGAGAGGACATTTTCAAAGCTAAAGATCATAAAGACATGGTTTAGAGATTTACTCTCTAAGGAGAATATGGAATCATACATTGAAAAGGCAATATTATATGATTTGGTTGTAGAATAGTTATTAGCAGATACGAGCAATCATCTAATGAACACAAATGTTGGCTTTTAATATAGTGGAGTGCATACAATGCTCTATTGTGCATTTGAATTATTTATTAATGTGTAAATTGGGCAGTAAACAATTTAAATATATATATATCAACCAATTATTTAAAATTAAAAATAATTGAAAAAAAATTAATTATAACCTTCTGTAGTTACATTTGTTGTCTACAAAGAAATACATATATCTTTTTAAAAAAAGATACGCGTTTTTCCATATTTATTTTCTGAAAATTTGTATTTATTCGTTATGAAAATTAAATGATGGCACTGTAGTTGTCGGTAGGCCTAATTTCTTTCCTGGTGTTATACAGGAAGAAACTGTTGCTGTTTGAACACAGATCGCCAGCCAGCAAACATAAGCGATCCCATTTTCAAGAAGTAGATCATGTGATGGCGAAGGAAATGTATATATGAAAATTAGCGTGACGTGTAATTGATCTCTATTTCTAGTCTATCCTCTATTCGATCACCGTTTCTATTCTATCTTCTATTACTATACGAATCGCTATTCTCTTCTCTATACTATTCCTCTATTCGGATCTCTATAGGGATTACTATTCAGTGCTTACTTTACGATCGAGTATTAATCCAGCAAGTACTATTAGTGCGAGTGATATTCGAAGGCGTCGGACACCAATATTGATCAATGGCGTCACTATAGTTTGTATCTGCGATTACAAAGTCTCTACTACAGCGAGCATTACGAAAGTGACAAGGAGTATTCGCTGGCATTACGAAAGTGTCAACGAGTGTTTGTTTTATCACATATATATATATATATATATATATATATATATATATATATATATATATATATATATATATATACGACCTATTCATCATATCTATCTAACTGAAAGACATACACAGATCGATTGATAAATAGATATAGAGACTGACATATATATGTTTATATCTATCCATATATCTTCTCTTATTCATATCTGTATATATATATATATATATATATATATATATATATATATATATATATATATATATATATATATCATCCTATTCATATCTATCTATCGTATTATCATCTCACACTTTTCCCATCCATTCATCTATCTATCTATCTATTCCATCTATCCATCTATCCATCTATCTATCCATTCATCTATCTCATTCTCTCATTCTCCATCCATCTATCCATCTATCCATCTATCTATCTATCTATCTATCTCATTATCTTCATTATCTATCTATCCATCCATTCATCTATCTATCTATCTCAAACTCTTCATTATCTATCTATCTATCTATCTATCTCATTCTCTTCATTATCTATCTATCTATCTATCTATCTATCTATCTATCTATCTATCTCATTCTCTTCATTATCTATCTATCTATCTATCTATCTATCTATCTATCTCATTCTCTTCATTATCTATCTATCTATCTATCTATCTATCTATCTATCTATCTCATTCTCTTCATTATCTATCTATCTATCTATCTATCTATCTATCTATCTATCTATCTATCTCATTCTCTTCATTATCTATCTATCTATCTCTCTATCTATCTATCTCATGCCACTCACTTGTACTTAGCAAGCTGACTTTCTCCTCCCATTCACATCTATTTATGCGTATCTCTTTTTTTTCTCCATTATTTATAAATTAGAAATTTATTTTTCTTTCTTTCCACTCACTTTTTTAAAAAATATTTACATCTCCGACTCCCGCCCCCACGAAAACCACCCACCCACAGACCCCTAAAAAAATAAATAAATACATATAATAATGCCCATTCTGGGAGGGGAATCCGTCCTCTCTCCACCATAACACGCAACCATTCAATTTTGATGCCGGTCATCGACATATGACGTGCGAAGGTTGCCGACAAAGATATGAATGAACTGATTGCCTGCCTCGTTCCTATCAACGAAGTCCCTGTCTACCGTTTATAGCTCCCTATGCGACCGACCATCTCTGGGAAAAGAACTGTCTGGCGATCGGTTCAGCGTAACCAATGAAAGGAAGCGATCAGATCAAAAACATTAAGAGGCAATAAAGGAAAATAAAAGTATAGTTTTATAATAAAGGGGAGAGAAAGAGCGTACTGAGGCGGGAAGAATAACAGGAGATCATAGATGGGCGGGAAAAAAAAAAAATATATATATATATATATATATATATATATATATATATATATATATATGTGCGTGTGTGTGTGTGTGTGTGTGGATCTTTGTTTTTCTTTCATATGGAACCATTTTGAGAGTAATTATCTCTGTTTCAATTCTCCTTCTATATGTGTTTTGTCCCCTCGGGACGTGGGCGATCATGGCTCTCCACAATTTCCTGTCCCTTGTAGCTCTTTATAAGATTCGTCTTTCTCTTATTCCTCTAAGCTCTGATCCAGCATCCGTCTACACAAGCTCACCATTTTTGTTACTCGTTGATTTCCTTAGTCGTTCTTGCTACCGATCTGCCTTGTGTGTATCAGATTTTCCATGCCGTGCTTCCTTATTATATATCCCAGAAATCTCGATTGCCTCTTATGATGTTAAATATGATTCTTTTTTCTGTCCATTTTCTCCAGTATTCACATGAAACGACTAAGAGTAGATTTGAATATATATATATATATATATATATATATATATATATATATATATATATATATATATATATATAAAGCAGCTCCTACTGCTTTTAGTGCATTACTCTTCAAGTGCAAACTGAGTTCTCCTGGCCACTAGCGTATTTCACATAGAAAAATATTAAAATTTCCTTTCCTCTCTGTCGTGAGACCATAGCCTAGGGGTAGTGTTGGGGCGCACTCACCTTCTCATCAGAATGGACTGATCTCTCTACTACTAATAGGACAGTTCTATAGAGTTCTGGGAAGATCAGGTGACCATCACACTTCCGTCTCTCTACCGGAAGATACAGTTGGACTTTATACTCTTTCTGATTGTTACTGACTAACCTGCATTCGTTTGACTACTAATCTCTCCGTTGTAAATACCTCTTCAGATATACCAGTATTTTTCCCTACGCATGTGTTTGTCCTTCTTTCAATACACGCACGCGGAAACACTCAACATCTCAACAGGTAGGATCGGTCGGGTTTCGATCCCGGCTTGAAGCAATCGAGCCTTTATTACACTGAAGATCTGCGAAACAGCTGTGGATGACAATATCTATATAGATATAGATACAGAGTGTAACAGAAAAATTGTTCAAATCGTAAAATTTTTCTAATTTTAGGTTAAGCTTTGAACCTTTGTAACTTAAAATTATTAAAGATATCTTACTGGAATTCTCCGAGGTTTTATATCTGTATTGGCCTAAGATTGTGATGAAATTGTTTATTAATAATTAATTATAAGTTTAATTAAGTTTCGAAAGTTCATGAAGGATTGAAATAACGTTCAAATATATGTTATACCAGGATCATTTTCCAACTTATTCAAGATAATCTTCGCCCTGTCTAAACTTCTAACTTTCCTTCCTGGAGTAACAAGGTGCTTCACATATTTCACGTACGATTTCTTTTCAAGTCTTTTTTCACTGCTCTTTGGACTGCATTAGCTGAAACTCCTCTCTCACCTCTATATTGAGATTGAGTTGGATCTTTTCAAATTTATCTCTTTAGTCCTAATTTGAAATGATGATCTCTCCTCCTGTTGTGACCTTATGATCCAGTTTTCGTCTATACTGTTCCATCATTTTGAAAATTTATTCACCGTTGTCTTGATTGTTCTTGATATATATATATATATATATATATATATATATATATATATATATATATATATATATACCGTGTATAACAGTAAATTGTCCAAATAGGGTAAAGACAAAATTGTCAGATTAACCTCTGAACTGTATCTTAGAAATGATTAAAGATATATTACTGGAATTCTCCGAGGCTTTTATAACACTACTGGGTTCTACTTTGAACAATAAGAATGTATTTAGTTGTAAGTTAAAATGAGCCTTCTTCCTGTTTCGACATTCTTGAATGAACTTTGAAGAAGGAAGCCAGAGTTTGAGTGTTGCTACCATTACTGAAGGCCTGAATTATCTTTTTCCTCTCAGTTGGGAAGACAATGTGGCTGACACAAAACGATTTTAATCTGTTCTATTTCTAGCTGAATAAATCAACGTGTTTTTCATTGATTCTTACAACAAATGGCGTCAAGATAGCTGAACGTCTTATCTGAAAAAGCGGTAGAAAAGATACTCGGTTAGTGAATTGTTAGATATAACTCACCCACCTCCACCCTATGAGCTTACTTTTCCATTTGATGTAGATATCATATTTAATTGGTTAATCACGACATACCCACAAGTTGTGACCTTATGTACCCATCTTTAACTTTCAGCAAAGAGGTAGCACTTTGTTTTAAAATTCCCTTAAAAATCATTTAATCACGTTACTTATCATCGCCTGAAGAAGTGCAATCATATTCTCGAAACATGAAATCTTTTGTGTAGCCATTTCAACATGTTTTTAATTATAATCAACAATATATATATATATATATATATATATATATATATATATATATATATATTGTTGCAAGTAGCCTGTTGTAGCAGAATAAATCCGTTCGTTTTTTTTTATTAAATTAATTTTAATTCTAATTTTCATCGACAATGTTAATAAATCCATAATAGCATTAATTATGGAAAAATGATGAACTATGAACTTTGGCAGCATTACTGAAGGCCTGAATGATGTTTTCCTCTCACCATTTCTCAGTTGGGAAGACATAGTGAGGCCGACACAAAATGATTTTCACCTGTTCTCTTTCTAGCTGAATAACTCAAAGAGTTTTTCAGTGATTCTTACGACAAATGGTGTCAAGATGGCTAAAACCTGAAAACCTGGTAAAAATAAACTCGGTTAGTTTAGTGGATTGTTAGATATTCATCATTTTGTGAGATGAACAGTTATGTTGTTACATGGTTTGACAATTGTTTTTTTGCATATATATATATATATATATATATATATATATATATATATATATATATATATATATATATGTTTGGATTGATGTGAATTTGTGACCCTGGGTTTCACGCTTTTGCGATTGTCAGTCTGACGATCGCAAAACCGTGAAACCCAGGGTCACAAACTCACATCAATCCAAACAAATATGTTAGCTCTATCTCTGATATTAAGCGCTTTCTAATAAGTACCGCGCATATAATATATAAATAATTATATATATATATTTGATTTTTGATTTCAATTATTAAAACACGTAAATTTCAGAAATACGTTATTCCCCCAAAAAATTCGCTTGAAGATGGAACAGAGCTTACTTTAACTCAATTTAATTCAAATTATTATATTGAAGTTTTCGGCTCTTGTTTTGAAAAACATGAGACCTCTTATGTCGCGAGTTGGAATCATATTTTTAAATAAATAATTATATATATATATATATTTATATAAACACACTTTTCACACACACACACACACACACACACACACACACACACACACACACACACATATATATATATATATATATATATATATATATATATATATATATATGTATGTATGTATGTATATATATATAAACAGATGTTTGTACCCAAAGAACTGATATATAAACAAAACGGACGTTATACCTAACGTACCTTTCGGCCAATACGTTTTCTAAGTTTATGAAAACAACCAGTTCCTCAAGATTATAAAATAGAAAAAAGACACTCACAAACCCTCCAACAGACTCAAGGAATGTAAAAAAATATTCCTTTTGTCTCCACAATCTCGGCTGTTGACACTTTATAAAAACAGCTTCCAAGACTCGAAGCTGGTGTATTGAACGATCACTGTGTAAAACTGAAAACCACGTGTCTTCGTATTCAGAGGCACAATCATGGTTGTCGAGCAAATGTTGACCAATTGCAGACTCATGGACTGTCTGAGTAGTTCTTCTTATAGGCTGGCTAAAACTACCAGAATGCAGAAAGGCGGGAACATGACGGAATTGTTTATTTTCATCCCCCTTGTTCAATTTTAATTTTGTGTAATTAACATTTCTCTTTTAGTCGCGTTTCACCTTTCCCTCCTCATTTACTTTATTGAGTGTGTCTTCATTTATATTCCCAATCACCAACGAATACCTTTGAAAAAGTATTGGCCGAAAAGGTACCTTAGGTATGACGTCCTTTTGTCTAGGGCTATATATATATATATATATATATATATATATATATATATATATATATATATATTTTTATAAAATTTAGTGTGTTTCTCACACCAATACAAAGACAAATGTTTCTATAATCATATGTCCGCAAATCCTTCGATTTTGAGTAAAGTTTAAAGAATGCCTCTTTTGTGTTCATATAGATTTTATTTAACTCTTTCGACGTTCCTCCGATGTACTCCTTGTGGCAATCATTAGGGGTAATGAGAGTAAATTCTTCCTTCAAGTTATAGCTTATTTTTTGCTTTGAATTATTTCAGTCTTTGATTGTTTTAGATGTAGTCGTGATGAATTTTATGTTGAGTTTAGATACGTTCTTTTCAATTGCAATTGTGATAGAGTTAACTGGTAGAACAATATAATTTTTGATTTGTTGGCTTTTGTCAGGAAGGGCAGCTTTTCTCTTTGGAAATATTTTATGAGCCATTTGTTTGTC